CCCCAAAACCCCAAAACCCCATGATGCTGATATTTACTTATCAATTAATGATAAATCTTATTAGCTAAATAATTGCATTAATTTATTTATTTGATAATGAGCAAAAAGTTGACAAGTGAGATTTGCAGATTTTACCCTAACTGCAAAAATGGAGAGAAATGCCCCTATACTCATCCAACAGGAACTCAAGCCAATCAAACCTCTAGTTTATTCGGTTAAGGTAGTTCATTATTTGGTAAGAATGATGAACTAGACGATTAATTTTTAGGAAACAAGAAAGAAATTGAGTGCACCTTTTACAAAAAGAATCTTTGCAATAAAGGAGATGCATGTGAGTTCAAGCATTCGGGACCAAATACTTCTGTTACATCTTCAAATCTCTTTTCTAGGTATAATTATGATTATTAATGCCTTTTAGTGGAGACAAACTTTAGAGTAGTTCAATATTTGGTTAGACTCAAACAAATCTATTTGGAAGTAGTGCTATTAACATTAGCCCTTTTGGCTAGCCTTCTGGATTCAACAACTCATCATCTACTGGAAGCATATTTGGCTAAAGCTAATCTTTATTCGGGGCCAAACCATTTGGCTAAACTCAATAAGCACCAGCTATTTCAACTCCAACTCTATTTGGTAATCAACCATCTGTATTTGCTGGTCAAACCTCCTTATCATAAACATCAACATTCGGCACAATAAATAATACTTCTTCTATATTTTCAGTCGGGACAAAACCAAGTTTCCTGAACACAATAGTAAAGGTGGAAACTATCGAGGCAGATGATTAAGATCAACCTCAAGCAAACTCCTAGTAGGCTACTCAAGGAGTCTCTGAATAATAAGAACAGAAATAGCCAGTTAATCCTTAATAAAACTCTGCATTATCAAAAGAGGAATAAAGAAAAAAGGCTTTATAGGCAGCATTAACCCTCAAAAATTAATAGCAACAACAATAATAACAAATAGCTTAAATTTAGTAAAAAGAGTAAGAAATTTAGAAAGAAGTAGTTTAGGAATCGAAACCTCAGATAAAGGATTTTAATGCCTCTACAATAATAGAAGAGCATAAGCCAGTAGCTCAATTACAACCCCAGCCAATAAATGTAAACTCAATGGATGCTAATTAGCTCAAATAACTGTAATAACAAATTCTTCAGGGTAAATAATAATAAAAAATGAAAGGTAAATAGCTCCAACAAAAGCCATAATAATAGTAGTAAAACTCTTAAAGAAAAGTAGAGTAGATTAACCCAAACACAGTAACTCCAGTTAATTAAGCTATACAGAATCAATAAACTTAGCCACCTTAATAATTACAGCCAAAATTACTAGATATCTAAAAACTTCAACAGGAAAAACTAGCTAAGTAAGAGCAATTAAAGAAAGCAGCTTTAGAGTAAAGGAACATCTTACTAGCTTAAAAGTAACAATAAGAATAAGTTGAGCAACAGAAATTAGCAGAATAGCAAAGATAAGTTGAATTACAAAAATAAGCAGAATCTAAGCAAGTAACAATAATAAGATAAGTCATCATTTCTTCTAATGAGGAGCAATAACAGCAAATTCCTTCAACAATTTTTGCCAATTAAGTTTAAAATCATGTTAATCAGGAGCCTAAATAAGTAGAAGAAGAGAAAGTACTTGCTATAGAAAAAAATGACACAGAAATGAAAGATATCGATAAGGTTGACACAGACAATAATGAGGTATAGTTAGGGAAAAGAAAGTCTTCTGAGAGAGTTGAAAATAATGAGGTGGAAGAAGAGTAAGGATCTAGAAAGAGATTCAAGTCAGATGAAATATCTGCAAGTTAGAGCGAGGAAAAAGAAGTCACAGCAGAAAAGGCTGATTAGGAAATGGAAATGAAGGAGTCAGGTACTTCTGAATAAAACAACGTTCAGTAGCTATAAGGACAAGGCCAAGTTCAAGCAGATAATAAAGAGGAAGAAAAAATGCAAATTGAATAGTAGTCACCCATCAAGCCATTAATCTAAACTAATCCAATTGCTGAAAAGTCCATGATATAAATGAAACCTATTTTTGGATCTCAAACAACTTTATAAAAATTAAGTAATCCAGAAAATGAAAATAAGGACAAACCACTTTTAGTCTAGTTCAATGACTATTTAAAAGAGAACCAATCCTCTATAAAATACGATAGAAAGTAATTCATTAAAAGCTACAGTATTTTCAGAAAACAAGGTATTGCAACAGATAATGACTATGAAGAGATAGACTTTGAAGCTCTTGTTAAAGAATAGAATAAACCAACTATTACTTTCAAAGATATTCAGAAAGTTTATTCAACTATCATTGAAAAGTAATAGCTGCCCTCGAATGATTAGATATCAGAAGATAAACAAATGGAGGAATCTAAAGTAGAGGTTCAGGAAAAAAATAACTTGCAAACTGAGGAAGCTCCTCCTCAATAAAACGTAGATAGCATACAATAGGAATAAAAAAGAGCCTCTGAAGAAGAAGAGAAATAACATCAACTAGTACCTTAAAATCCACCATCACTAAATGATTAAAATTTAACTTAGCATTAATAGGAATAAAAATAAGAATCCATAGAAAAACCTCAATAATAACAACAATAACAAGCACCATAACAACCTGTTGCTCAGGCAAAGCGAAAAGTTACCTAAGAATAGATTATGAAGGAAATCGAGGATTTCAATTAGCTTATGGATAAAGTATAAAAGAGATTTAACTTAAGACTTCCATAGTTAGATGAAGAGTAAGAAAGAGAGCATGAGCGATATGTATCATTCTCAACCAGAGTGGAAAGCCTAGTAGAGTTCTTTGAACTTCAAACTGAAAAAATCGCTGAGAGACTGCGATTAAGATAGAATCAAGCTTGAATGATTAATTTGGATAGTAATCAATGAAATTTTAAGAGTTTTCTAATTAATTTGCTATAAAATCTTTATTTCATAATGCTTAAATTATAATGGTATTTGGGGTTTTGGGGTTTTGGGGTTTTGGGGTTTTGGGG